TTCTTCGATGACCCTAAAAATATGTCACCCTTGGGCCTAACGAAGGTCCTAGTGTTAGAGCCACAAAAGAAAACACATTATGCAACCCCTGGATTGCCAGTGGGTCGAAATCGTCGCGTCAATTTTTTTTTATCCGGCACTTCAGTCCAGAACAAAGTGTCATTCCAATCAGCGTCCGTTAGTATCTAGAGTATCAATCTGGAAATCTGGTAGAACTGTCCGCTTTTTGAAAAATATTGCGCTTGATGAATCAGCAATAGGGATCTAGTCAAAAGCTGCTGACGGAGAAACCTAAAAATGCCTCTAACTTCCACATGCATTAGCGCCTTCAACAGCGACGAATTTATTTTCAACGCTGAAAATGATATTTACAAAATAATTGTGTTAGAAGTAGTGTTACTGATTAATAGCTTGTAAGTAAAATTTGTGCTTAAAAAATGCTATATCGAGTTGTTATTTTAACCACCCTTGAAAAACATCCAATCTCATCAACGTCATTCCAATTAAGCACTATTAAGACGATTGGAAAAGCTTTCGAATTCTCTATATTCCAGCAAACACCTTCCATGCCAAACAAACTGAATGCAAGTTCCTACAAAATAAGCTGTTGAACCCGACAAACTTCTTTATTAAGTGATCGGCAGCTGTCAATAAATCGTTCTCACACCTAAAAACGGCTGAATCGAAACAAGAATCAGCCTCAGGGAGAAATCGCAAGAAACAAAAAAAAAGAAAACTGAGTACAAAAAGTACTGATGACAAACGCCCGAAGATCATAATTGGTGTCAGGAAAACTGTTGCACGAATTCATCATATTCGCTTGTAACCACTGCCGGTGCATCTTGTCAGAAGCAAACCATTTAGGAACGAAAAGTCGCAGCAACAGCACCAGATAAGTGGACAATCCAACCAAGTCTAATAGTCAACGCACTGACACACAACTGACTGCACGCACTGACACACAGCTTTACCTAAATTGCTACTAGCATCAACACCTGGCACGAAAATAACGCATAACTACGGTACTTACATGTTATCTTTGTGGGACCCAACTTCAAATTTTAGTCGCACTGCTTCTTCGATTACTTGTTGACAAAATGTGCAGCTGTCGCTTTTGTTTAATCAAATAAAAAAAAGTTAGTTTGTCATAAAACACTTTTATTGTTCCTTTCTTATTTTGGAAGTGTCTGTTTTCTAGCGAAACAGTTGAAACAGTCAGGTTAATTGTTGCAACTTTTAAGTTTTATGTCTTTTTTTTATTCCACCTGTAGGAAGCCTCAAAGCAACTTATTTCACTTCTTCCTCAGTTTACGATTGTTTGTTATACCGATTAAACCGTTCGTAAAAGACATTTAAAAGATCTCGAATAAATAAGAATGGTGACATGTTGGAACTCGTTGCAGAAAAAGCTAGACCTTCCCACTAAAAAAATTGTTGTTATAATACATATAACGGTAGCTCAGAACTGCCTCTTATCCTACCACTTTTTTCAATAAATTTACGGCCTGATAATTTTATGACAACTTTATGTCGTTTATTCAGTAGCAAAATGACTTTTGTATGCACCTTTTCTTCTATAATTTTGCCCAGTAGGGCGTAAACAATACGGGAATCCTATTCTACCAAACAATTTATAAGTTAATTATCCTTGCACATAGCCTCATTCTACACCGCTGAACAACAGCAGCTCTGCCACAGTTCTCATCGGTAAAACCTTTTCGGCATGATTCCAACTTGGCCTCAGTTTGCTTCGCCTTCTCTTACCAAATCGACTTGAGAAGTAAGGTCAGACAGTGCAATCCAACTTGGCAATCAATTAGTGTTAGCCTTCTGAGAGGCTGTATTTCTCTACTATAGTTCTCAAACACTGCTGGGAAAAGCTAAGTTATAATCCATTTCAAGCAAAGAACTTCTAAGTCGGAAAATTTGAGCAAAAACAACTGATCATTAACGCCAAAAAATATACCGAGTAAACCACCCATTGGGCAAAAAAAAAATCTGAGTCATGCTAAATTACTCAACTTAAATTGTAAACTAACTAGCTGGACATTATAATAAGGGAATTACCAAAAACTCCTTGGTTTTCTGTAGGACGTAATTCCCAATTTCACTTAGTAAAGCAGTTGGTATTACCAACTGCTTTGTATCCGTACGTATCAAGAAGAAAGCGTACACCAACCGTTATTTTCCTTTAAAACCGTTATGCAACCGTTATTTTCCTTTAAAAGTTATTAAAACTAAACAGCCTGTCGCATTTGCTTGTCGAAACAAACTACAGCGAAACAATCGCTGTTCAAAAGTACTCTCTTCCAGCTGGTATTCTGCCCGCTAAGGCTGGACTCCGACCGGTTAAGAAACATCAGTTGAGTGATCTCGATTATGTTGGGACATTGTTTAGGCAGCGAAAGTCTGTACACGTACATACCTAACTCAAATGTACCTACTCACGTATAATAAATGTACGTGTACTGATTTTTGTTTAATAGCCTTTCATACGTTCAGTCGGAGAGGTGCGTAATTAAGACGGTGCTACCAAGTTTAACCAATCCTTCCAAAATCAGCCCTAATTGGGTAAACAGCCGCTCAAGCAAAATATTTGCAAACGATGAATGTTGTTCGGTTGCAGTTTGATTCAATTCAAATCTGTTGTCGGCAGTTTTATTTGCAGCAGCTTTGTAAATGGGATAGTGTTCACGTGCGACATTATTAGTATTGAGAGCCATTTACCTTCCTCTCCGTAGTTAGACTGAAATTGTGCTTGAAATTGCAGCTGTAAAGATGTGCGGCATGTTAGCGTTTAGCAAGATTTATTTGAACTTATGAGTAGG